AAGTGGAGATTATAGTATATTTGGAAAAAGAAGTTTAATTTAAAAAAATTTTATATAAAAAATAAATGTAATATAAAAATTAAGAACTGAGATGATAAAAATTTGAAAATGACCTGACATAAATTTTTAATTAATTTTTTCATTAATTATAAATTCAAGTAGTTTAAAAATAAAAATAGTAAGAAAAAATATTTTTTATGAAATATCACATTATTTTCTAAAAAAAATACACTTAAATACACTTATAAATTTAATTTGTGATTATGTAATATCCAAATATTTAATCTTACAAATAGAAAAAAATGTAAAAAAATTTATAAAAAAAGAAAAATTTTTGAAAAAAATTTTCGTCTAACACTTTTTTATTTTGATTATCACAAGATCTACATGATCATCTACACGTTTCAATTTTTTTAACGAAAAAGAAATATATTTGAATCTATTTTTATTGAAAATCAATAAAGATCAACAAAATCAAATACAAATATAAAACTTATTGTTTGATGCCTCAAGTTAATATGTAGCGAAAGTGGCACAAAAATGAATATTTTGTAATTTTATTTTAATGATATCAAAGAAGCAATATTGCAATAACAACGTCTATAGCTATATAGCTATTGCAATTGCAATTGCAATAGCAATAGCAATAGCAATAGCAATAGCAATAGCAATAGCAATTGCAATTGCAATTAGCAATATATATAGCTATATAAAATTGAATCAAAAAAGTTCACATTGAGCATTTCCGAAATTATGAAAAAATGCATGTAGATCGTATGACAAACTACAAATTAAGCGAAAAAGTGAATAAATTTGGAAGATGATCGTCAGAAATTTATCATCCAAAAGCATACTATCGCTAATTTGATTAAAAACCCTGACGATCAGAGAAGAGAATATATATATAGGTCGGTACTCATTTACTATTAGCTCTACGCTTCAAGCCAGATCTATACGTAGGTTCATTCTACTTTGTATTATTGTATTTCTCGGGGTCCTTCTAGTAATTCGATCGGATCAAAATTACCCGATATATTAAATGATAAAAAGAATTACTAATTGGTCATTGAAATTGGGAATGACAATTTTTATTTTCTATCAGAGTCAGAAACTGATTCGATCGGAGTTCGGAAAGCTGTCTAATAAATCAATATTTACATTATATATTCGTTAAACAGTCAATGGGGAAATTTTTTTTAAAAATTGAGTTCAAATAATTTACTGTGTTCAGCTATTTTTTAATCATAACCTTATAAAAGTCATACGAATAATACGAATATGTAACATAATATGAACACCAAATAAAATTTGTAGTTGTGTAATTCACTTGACACGTATGACAATATGGTAATAACTAATTTAGAAATGATTTTTGAGTAATCGTACTACTAAATTTTGCATGTTTCGGAGCTTGAGATGTTTTGGTAAGTATCTTTTATTTGCGTAAATGAAATTTTGACCAGTATACACATAAATCTCGTGAAGAAAGGCGTAAATAAATATGTAATATTGACATAACTTGGACCGATAGAATTTCCGTGTTCCATTTCACAATTGATAAAAAAAAAATCTTATTTTATTACCGACGGTACATCGAAAGTGCAACATATTAAGATTCATTTCTTGTTTAATTATTCCATTAAAAGTAATAATTTAGCCTTCATTGGGCAATATTGACACTATTGGAATTTACTAATATTGTAGAAAAATTCTGCATATTGTTTGTACATTCCTGCATTCGACTGATTATCATTTTTAGTTGATCTACCCCAAATATCTTTTTCTCGTTTCCTATATCTGTAATTTCCAATAATCTGTGTACCGTATGCATATTTATTTATTACTCAATTATATAATCAAAAGTGAAAGACATTTAATGATGCAAACGAAATCGTATACGACTTCCTTGAAAAAATAATTTTTTATCCCAATTTCTCTCCGTTCATAAATCTATGTAGCAAAGGAAAGAACGCACGTAAGACGAATTTGAGACAGAATATTCTGATGTTACATTCTGATGATCTAAATAGAGATCGGTATCGAACCTAAGATTATTTTCTTTACAATCTTTAATAATAATCCATATAATATAATAATAAATATAGGCGCAAAAACAAAAAAACAATAAAGCAGTGCCCCGATTTTAACGAGTCCATTCACGTTTTTTGTTTTAAAATACTAAGACGCCAGAGTTAAACAGATTATTTTTTATAGAAATCTTTAATAATAGTTCATATAATAAAATAATAAATATAGACGTAAAAACAAATAAAGCAATGCCCGAATTTAACGAGCCCATTCACGTTTCTATTTCAAAATAATAAGACGCCAACAGAGTTAGACTGATTATTTTCTTTTACAGAAATCTTTAATAATCGTTCATATAATAAATTAATAATAAAATAATTATAGGCGCAAAAACAAAAAACAATAAAGCAGTGCCCTGATTTTAACGCGTCCATTCACGTTTTCTGTTTCAAAATACTTAGACGCCAGAGTTAAGACATTTCTGTCTGGAAATCGGTGAATTTCACTTAGAAAATTTGCGAAAATTGCCAAATTATATATAGAATACTATATATTCGGATCTTATTTTAAAAGTAGTATACATGTTTATTGCATCAATTCTGTCATTATCTTTTATACGTAGTTTTGTGCAATGTTATAAATATTTAAATGTTATAAATACATCGTTTTTTTTTGTATCTTTTTTTTCTTCTCCTTTAAATATACACATATTATTTTTTATCTCCTCCTTAATATACGTTATACAAACGAAAATGCCTTCTCAAAAAAGACAGAA